TATTCAGAGAGTTGGAGCATACCCCGGGTAATATACTTTCAATATCACAGATATCTTTCCCAAATTTTGTAAACAGATATTCTACAATATCCAAGTGTCCATTTACGCATGCTTCTGATAGTGTTGAGCGATTGTCGTGCTGAATTATATTCGCATCTTTCAACAAATCTGTAACAACACAGACCCATCCATGCTTTGAAGCCTCATTGAGGATATTTCTTGTATCCAACAGGCTGACATCAACATTTTCCAAAATCCATTGTACTGTATCGATTCGACAAAAGGCACAGGCATCATTCATTGCTGTTCTTATGTTGAGCCTACTATGCTCAATGTTTTCCCACATCCACTTGGCAACAGTCAGCAGACCATTCCCACAGCATTCATTCATTAAGGTTTCGGTATCTAATGACTTCACATCAATGTTTGATAAGGCCCACATGTGACCATTAACGCATGCAACATTTATTGAAGGTCCCATCTCGAGTGAATGATCCTGTGGATTTCTCCATATCCACTGTAAAATGTCTATCCAACCATTACGGCATATTTCTTTTACTGTGTTGTTCATATCAAAAAGTGATAGCGAATATTTCTTCAAGACCCACATCACTAATGATCATTTTTCTAATGTAATCGAATTGTTATATTCACTATCATTTTCAGTAATTTTGGATTTGATATTCAACACTGAATATAAAGCTTGATTAATATCTACTAAGTTTCTGTCATCAGTTCTAAGTAACCACCCTACTATTTCTACATTTCCGATTGCGCATGATTCGACGACAACGTTATTCAGATTCACTAATGAGCGATCAGAATGTTTCAGAAGTGTTATTACTACGTTCGTAACATTGATTCGATTTACAAAAGTTTCTGTTATTGACACTTGAATATCAAATTGTGATTGGTCAACATTGTTTAAAAGCCATCCCACAACTGTTTCCTTGCCACTGATACACGCGTTAATCAATGCTGACTTCATGTCACACAACTGCGCATTATTATTACTCCAAAACCACTTAATTACATGAATATTTCCGTATCTGCATGCATTATTCATTGCACTTTCATTGTCAAACATATTCCCCCCAAATCTTTGAAATAAAAATTTAGCGATCTCATCATCTGGCCCGCGGCATGCCTTAAACATTGCATGATTTAGATTTATTTGCGACTGCTCCACCTTCTCAACAAGAAATAAGACTATATCAAGGAATCCCATTTTACATGCTTCATTGAAGACTACTCTTATATCTAATAGGGTATTGTTCACTCTATTGTGGATAACCTTCACTGTTTCCAAATTATGACATTTAATGGCTGTAGTCATTGCTGAGCTCATATCAAGCATTTCGTGATTTACCTGATCAAGTATCAACTTCACGATGTTTATATCGTATATAGTACATGCTATTGTCATAGCTGCTTTCATATATAAAAGGTTATGATCCTCTTTGTCAAGAATCCTCTTCACTATATCAAAATTATCCAATGTACAGGCTACATTCATTACTGTCTTCACATCTAACAGTTTCAAATCAACATTTTCAACTATTACTTCTATTGCAAGTAAAGGGTCCTCTTCTAGGTAGTCATTGTCTTCATAAAATACTTTCAGGACTTTCTTAAAATCTACAAGGTTATGATCCACTTTATCAAGTATACACTTTACCATATCACATCTACCAAATCTACATGATTGGCACATAACTATCTCCACATCTAACAGTTTCACATCTTCATTTTCAACTAATAATTCTATTGCAAGTAAAGGGTCCTCTTCTAGGTAGTCATAGTCTTCATAAAATACTTTCAGGACTTTCTTAAAATCTATAAGGTTATGATCCACTTTATCAAGTATATACTTTACTATATTTGAGTTATCTGTTGTACATGCTTCATTAATGACACTGTTCATATCTAAAAGTGTGTGATCCACTTTATCAAGTATACACTTTATTATATCAAAGTTTTCTTGACTACATGCTATAATCATGATACTGGTCATATCTAAAAGTGTGTGATCCTCTTTGCCAAGAATTTTCTTAACTATATCTGAATTATCAATTGTACAGGCTACATTCAATACTGTATCAACATCTAATAGTTTCACATCTACATTTTCAACTATTACTTTAAATGCACACAAGAGGTCCCCTTCTAAGTAGTTCATGTTTTCATAAAATACTTTCAGGACTGTCTTAAAATCTACACGGTTGTGATCCACTTTATCAAGTAAACACTTTACTATATCTATGTTCCCTTCAATAATAGCTTCATACACTGCTTTACACACTTCTAAAACTGTATGTTCCACTTTATCAAGTATATATTTAACTATATTTATGTTATTTTCCCTACAGGCTTTATTCAAGACTGTATTTATACGTAAGGTTGCATTACCAACAGTTTCAAGTATCCAATTTAATATTTCTAAGTGACCCTTTTCACAGGTCGTATACACCACATTCCTCATTATTAAATGTGTATGTTCAACATTATGAAATAATAATTTTATCATATCTAGGTTACCTAATTCATAAGCTGCAGAGATGGCTACATTGATATCTGGTAAACTGTGATCAACATTATCACATATCCATTTTACCATGTCATAATAATCTGTGCCACAAGATGCGTTAATGGTTTTATTCGTACCTTGTTGTTTTTCATTCGGGCTGCGTAAAATACTCTCTAGTATGTCAATTCGATGTAGCTTCAAAGCTTTATTTACACTCTCCTTCATATCAAGCAATATGTGATCGAAATTTTCTATCATATACTTTACTATTTCTAGGTGACTACATCTCCAGGCTTCGTTAAAAATTTTTGTTATATCCAACGCTTTTTGATCAACATTGCTTAAAAGATACTTAACCACATCTAGACGACCTTCATATATGGCTTCTCTGGACGCTGTCTTCATATCTATCAATACTGGGTCAATAATTTCTAGTATCGACTTTACAATGAATAAATTACCTAACCCGCAGGCTTTGTTCATGATTTTTTTTGTGTCCAACACATTGTAATTTACGTTCTCTATAAAGAATTTTGCTTCGCTCAAACTTTTCGTATACGAACAGCAACTATGCATGATTTCCTGAATATCTAAAAGCGTATGGTCATTATTAAGAATCATCCACTTTACAGTTTCGAAATTGTTCCGATATATGGCGATATTAATCACTGTTTTTATATTTAGCAATGCATCAACAACATTGTATTGCATCCAATTAAAAGAATCTAAAAATCCGTTACAACAAGCTTCATTCATTGCTATCTGTTTCGGATCAACGTTCTGCAATATCCATGCCACTATTTCCAGGAAGCCGAATTCCAATAAATGTTTGGTTGTTGATTTCATATCAAAAAACTTTTTATCAACATTTTGTACTATCCATAGTAAAACATCTTTTCTTCCCTTGAAAATTGCGTCAGTAATAATAGTATTTAAATGGGATGTAATATTATTAATATTATAATACAACCATTCTAAAAGGTCCGTTCTGTTTTGTTCTATAACTTCATCAATGTAGATTTTAAAAGTATACTCATTTTCAAATAGATATTTGATTAGTTTTATTGCAGACGTGTTTTCATTTATTATTGGTAAATCTAATGGGACACATACGTTCATAATCCAATCTGAACCAGTTTACAACGTCTAGTTTGTTACCTTTTAAAGCTATATTTACAGCGCTAAGCACATTTATTTGTTCTTTATTTTCACTTTTCCAAAATATCTCTACGATTCCCAAAAGTCCTTGTTCACAGGCATAATCAACGACTTGTTCAGTTTCAAAGGATTGAATATCAACATTGTTTAACAAAATTTTCATAACGTCCTCTTGTCCTAATATAATGGTCTCTTTAGCAATTTTATTGAGATCGAACAATGAATGATCAATAGTGTTAAGTAAAAACTTCAAAACTTCCTCATTTTGATCATTGTGGTGCCTCCATTCTTCTTTGACACTATTGAAAAATGCACTTGTGAAATTCAACAGTTTATGGTCCGCATATTGTATCATTATTTTGATGATTTGTAGTCTTCCATATGTACACGATTCATTAAAGCTGGTCGTAACCTTTAGCGATTGATTGTCAATGTTTTTCAGCAACCATGTAACGAACTTGCAATTCACCCCTCTACAGGCCTCTAGCAATAGCAATGACGCACGGATTTGTTTGACATGATTACTATCCATAAATAACTGTAAAACGTTCTCTTTGTGAATAATGTCATTTGATATCGCTTCCGCAACAGCAGAATGAAAGTTAAAAGTTGTTTCTGAAACACTGTCTAACAACAAGTTTATTGTATTTAGACTTTTTAAGTCTTCATGTTGGATTAACTTTTTATCCGAATCAATATGTTTTAATAAAACCTTAACAAAATTTGTGCAGAAATCAGACAAACTCCAGATCTGATTGCTTTGGAGGGCCTCAAATACATACTTAATATCATCGTTGAAATTAGTTTTTTTATCACCAATATACCCAATTAACGACTTTACAATTTTAAAATCGTCTTTTTTGCAGGCATCAGTCAATAAAACATTGACGTCAAATGTTATTAGGTTGGAATTTTGCAGCAATTGTTTTACAATGGAATGCCAACTATGCTGACATGCAGCACTCATTATGCACCTTAAATCAAACGATTGGTATGCGTCCTCTTGCAAAAAGCGTCTAACAACATTTTCCCAGCCTTTACCACAAGCCTCTTTCAGAAGAACTTGACAGTCAAACAATTTATAATTGAATTTTTCCAAAAACCAATCAACAATATTCAATAATCTTTTATCTCCAGCAGTTTCCACAGCTTTTGTCATGTTGAAATGTTTTGGATCAACAGAGGAAAAAATCCATTTAATCAGTCTGGCTCTATCGTGTATCAAACCTCCAACGGTTGAACAGGAAAAAGAAGCAGTAAATATGTCAATTAAATCCTGTAGTTTTTCTCTTTCTGTTTCCAAAATGACTTCTACAATATCAATCTTTTTTTAAAAATGTTGCAGTATACATGATGCAGCCCGCTGATTTTGTCTATCAACTACGTCTTGGAAACACCTGTTAATATCAAAACTTATTTCAAGTTCGTCTATTGTTTGTAAAAAGAATTCAATAATGTCATTTGCATTCTTTTTGTCACATGAATACAAGAACGCGGCAACTATTGTTCTTTTACACGCGTTGTTCACATTTGATCTGGTCTCTGACAGCAATGTTATCTTCAAAGAATGAAGTATGACTTTAATATCTTCAGTTTTCCAGTCTTTAATGGTACCAAACCACAGTACAGCTGCCAAAAGACAAAAGACTACCTCTTCACTTTTGCCTTCGTATGTTATGATTGTAGAAATGTCATGATTTGATGCTTCAATGAAATGTTCGCCTAGTTGAGTAATGAAATCAGCATCAATTTGTGTCATTAAATCACTGTCACACAATACTTTGATAAAATTAGAAGGCATGTGTCTAAACTGGAAATGAAATATCTGAAAAAGACGTTTCGCTAAGTTACCGTAGAATTGCTTTGGTATAATCATTTTTATTTCTTCTTCTTTTGCAAGGTAGTTGCTGAGTTTAACGACCTCTCTAAGCATTTCAAAATCAATCATTGTCAAGACTAAATTTGGATCTACATTGTAGTAAGACAACATAACACTTTCAAATATAGTTTGATGTTGAAACTGGAATACTGATGTTTCTGTATTATAGGTAAGGTAACTGCCTGTCATTTCATCTGCTGCACCTATAATTTCACTGTTTATTATAAAGCTGTCTCGGTTGTAACATGATCTCAATATACTAGCTGCTTTATCACAGTCAAAAACTGTCTTGCCAAGCGTGTTGCTAGACAGTAAAATGTAAACTAGGGTTATGTAGCAAGTTCTGTCTTTCATGTTACTTTCACCACTTCTTCTTAAGTTGTCAATTTCCTGATTTAAAAATCTGGTTGGATGTTTAAAAAATTGAATCCCCAATCGAGTTAATGCTCTGTTTGAAGTAAACATGTAGCAAGATTCAGGAAAACCCAAGTATGTGTCAGTATTCACAATATTTGTAAATGTTGCCTCATTGATTTTAACAGTAACATTTTTATCTAAAACCGTTTCCTCATAGCAATTTTCATTTTCTCCTACATGTACTATTTTTATATTATTTTTTGAACAATAATTTTCAAGAAGTCTTTCTTTCTCCATTTTAGTCATTTTAAATTGACTTGAATTAAGATTTATTTCTTCAAACCCTTTAAATATTCTATGAGATGAAAATAAATGCAAGTACTGTAATGATTTTTTAACTACACTGCGTATTGTAAAAATGACCTTAACATTACCACTATTGATATAAGCTTGTAATATATCTAAGACATGCCTATCATTGTCTTCACTATATCTACAATTTGTCTTACCAAAGACATCTTCTAATAAAAGTATAGTTCTACTATCTTTGTTTAATATCTTGTCAACTGTATGAAAATTAGAAACTTTAACCACATCATATGTTGGATACTTTTCCCCGAGCTGTCTTAATATATCCAAACCATTTCTACTTTTTCCTTTTCCTGCACTCCCAGTAATTAAGAAAACTTCTTTGTCAGAATGTATTGTCATGAATGTCTTAATAGCCCTAGTTTCCACAAATGTCTTTTCTTTTATATGTTGATCAATCTCTTTTCGCGTATGATCTTGTAAAAGAAAAATTCATTTTTCAGTATATTTGTAATATTTGACATACTTTCGATATATGTGGATGACTAATCTTGTTTAATGCGGAAACAGAAACTTTTAAAAACATTTCCTATCGAATAATATTTGAACAAGAATAGTTTTTACTTTTTTATAATTTACTCTATAAAACAAATTTTGCCAATTTGACCTGTTTGTAAATCTTATTTTGTTAATGTCTTGAAAAAGGGAACAATCGTAATTTCAGGGAAATAACTGCTATATTGAGTCAACTGACAATTACGACCATCTTGCCTTATTTGAGGATAGTATTTTGCTGATAATTTTCGCTATATACAGTTCTTTCTATATGCTATAGGGTCTACCACAAATACATCAAAACCAAATGAGAAAGTCTCACCTCAAGGTCTATAATTCCTATAAAGAGTCGCATGACGAGTTGGCATGCAATTAGACATATTCATAGATCTTATTTTGCAATTTTCTAAGAGTTTCTAATCATCCACTATATAGAGTAAGAAAAAAGCAAAAATAACTAATAACTCTCACCAAAGGACAATAACGCACATTAAGAATCCACTGACAAATCAGCAATTTTACATACTTGTAGATCTTTATAAGCCGATTATTATTTATATTTACAGTTTCTCTCTATCTTCTATAGTTTCTGCAAATAAATAAATTGGTAAAGCCATTCTTCAAGAGCAATACCTGTTATAAAGAGTCACCTGACGTATTAATAATTTGACCTGTTTGTAGATCCTATTTTGGTGAGAATTTTTGTTTTAACAATTTCATTCTATCTAATATAGTTTTCGCCAGAAGCACAAAAATGACTGCAAATCGTCATTCATGGACAAAAAGTCATAACATGAGTCGACTGACAATGTTGGTGATGTAGACTATGGTTATTTTGTCTGGAAGTTTATAAATCAAAAGACAATTTCCTACCTTAATGAAGGCTGCTCTATACAATATGGTTTTATATTTTGTTTCCCTTAAAATTTTCTTCATTTCGGTTCCATATGCAAAAAGTAAAATCACAAAAAAAACAAACGGACACAATAGGGAAAATGTCAAAAATTTGGGTACAGCAGTCAACATTGTGTTATAATTTTAATCACTATAAGATAGACCATACAGATGGATATTTATTTAATGAAACGAAATTAATTTGAAATGACCGTTTGCAAATTGTTTTCATGATTAAATTGGAAGAAGATTCTTGTCAACCAAAGTCAAATATGGTTTACTTTTTGCATTGAATATTGCATTACATCATTTTTTACCATATATTTTGTTTGCGATGTTCACCGTATACGTTAAGGGCATACGATAAAGTTTGGATCCCACGATGAATTTTTGACGAAAATTTGCATACAAGCTTTTTTCACCTAAGCAATTCAAATATGTAATAAAAAATATACCTTCATGTGCTACTTTAAGAGATAATTAGGGTCGAAATTTTAGACATTTACTCAAAATTTTTTTTTTTTACATTTCTCTCCTTTGGATAGACATACCTAACTTTTTTGTTTCAAAAGATAAACACAAGCAGATTTTTGTAAAAACATTTGGATAATCTTCTTTACATAAGTATTCTGTAGATTTATATAACACTTCCTGGAAATCATTAATTTTTATCAAAGTTTCAGGATTTAAGATATAAAACGGCATCTTTTGCTGTATATTTATCTAATTTAAAAAAATTGCATCGTTGACTTTTTCATGAAAATTGGTACAAATAATCTTCATACGTAATCAAACCAAATGTCATTTTAAAAAAGAGGGGTCCATGAACTCGTTTTCAAGTTAAATCAGTTTGAATGATAAAAATCAGTCGAAAAATGCATCTTTTCCCGATATGTCACAGTTTGACGTCGCGAAAATAACATTTTACGTTAGCAACGTCATTACCTCCCCTGTAACTGTATTGTATGCCCTTAGCAAAAATAAAAGGGTGCGAATATTTGTTATTGTGTCTATATAAAAATAAGAAGATGTGGTGTGATTGCAAATGAGACAATTCTTCACAAGAGACCAAATGACACAGAAATTAACAACTATAGGTCATCGTACGGCCTTCAACAAGGAGCAAAACCCATACCGCATAGTCGGCTATAAAATGTACCGAAATTACATTTTGTAAAACAATTCAAGCGAGAAAAGTAACGGCCTAATTTATGTAGAAAATAATGAACGAAAATAATATGATACACAGAAACAAACGACAACCACTGAATAACAGGCATCTGACTGTGGACAGACACATACAGAATGTAGCGGGGTAAAACATGTAAGCGGGCGCCCAACCCTCCCCTAACCTGGGACAGTGGTGTAACAGTACAACATAAGAACAAACTATAAAAAATCAGCTGAAAAATACTTAACTCGTCAGATGGATACAAATAGAAATACATCTATCAAAAACACAGAGTGGACGTGGCAGAGTACTTAAACATGCTCACAACTAAAAGACTCTAATTACAGGATCTGAGAGTACTCGCAGTTACTGATTGCTAGTTCAAAGCTAATAACAACTAATTGAAAAATCATGCATCTAAGACTAAGATATCAATATTTCACATCAAACATACAATGGATTTAGTGTAAATACGTTATTAACAGTCAGGTAAAAACATGTCATTGTGCAATGCCAGATATAGGTATCGACAGATTGTAGAGCCATGAATGTGCATATGTTTATTAAAAAAATATTTAGTTTGATTTTAATTTACTGGTAGCAAAATCAATATTAATACAAATAATATAGTCTTATATCATTTTTCCCCAGATAACACCAATATCCATAACAACTACTCACCCAAAAACCTTAATTTCTTTGGATTTTCTGCAATACAGAAATATTGAATTAATAGAACTTATTATCTTCTATTTGTAAAGTCACTAACATCTTATGAAGTGGTTAACAAAATTGTGATCGTAACAAATCAATTTGATAAGGAACTTTTCGTTTTGAACTTTCCTTGGAGTTCGGTATTTTTATATCTTAGGTGTCAGACCACCAATTCAAAATCCCTATCTATTCAACCAAATTTTGCAATTTTCACAGTTTTCTAAATATTTTACCGTAACTTCATAGAAACCAGGTATATCATGAATTGTGCGTGTATCACTTTTCTACATGCCAATGTTCAATCAAGGTTTAAAGTATTGTTGCGTGATACTACCGTTCAGAAGTCAAGTACTACTAAAAATAACCCCTGGTTTTCTTTTCTGAAAATATTGAATAAGTATGCTATGGGACACATTAATCCTCAATTTTTAATGCACTCATGAACAAGTAAATGTTGGCTCAAAATGGTCTACATATATTTCTGTTTCACCAACAATTTCATTTCTGCAAATTTGTTTGTTAGTTTAAGTAAACAATAAAATCAAAAGCACTAATTTTTTTCACGGAAGGGCTACTTTTACAAACGTTGTAAATTGAAGTGGGTGGAATGGGTCCTTTACTTTGCAGAAGTATCCTACCCTGTTAAAACCTGACGCAGTTTTATTTCAATTTAGTTACTACAAAAGATACTTTATAAAGCACAAAAATGTCAGTATTCACCTCTGAAGCTAACAAAACCTTTAAATAGACTTATTAAGAAGGGATATAGTTACGATACTGTTGTCAGGTCATTAAAGATTGCATATTTTGGCGTTAATATTGATTCACTTATAGGGTCTTTGCATCGGCACTAAACACAATTATTTAAAAACCAGTTGTTGGCATGACACGGGTTATGTTCTTCTCATATATGTTATGATGGTATGATACTAAACCCCTAACGGGAAGGATTGTGCCTGATATTCATATGATGAAGACATAATCTTTCAATCAGTTTAATTGAAGCCTGGAGCTGGCATGTCAGTTAACTGCTAGTAGTCTGTTGTTATTTATGTATTATTGTCATTTTGTTTATTTTCTTTGGTTACATCTTCTGACATCAGACTCGGACTTCTCTTGAACTGAATTTTAATGTGCGTATTGTTATGCGTTTACTTTTCTACATTGGCTAGAGGTATAGGGGGAGGGTTGAGATCTCATTAACATGTTTAACCCCGCCGCATTTTTGCGCCTGTCCCAAGTCAGGAGCCTCTAGCCTTTGTTAGTCTTGTATTATTTTTAATTTTAGTTTCTTGTGTACAATTTGGAGTTTAGTATGGCGTTCATTATCACTGAACTAGTATATATATTTGTTTAGGGGCCAGCTGAAGGACGCCTCCGGGTGCGGGAATTTCTCGCTGCATTGAAGACCTGTTGGTGACCTTCTGCTGTGGTCTGTTCTATGGTCGGGTTGTTGTCTCTTTGACACATTCCCCATTTCCATTCTCAATTTGATTTGAACATTTGCTTGTGATAAAGGCTAAATCATGACACTGAATGAGACTTTGTTTCAATTGTTATACCATCAACACAATAATGTCGCAAGTGGTTTGATGTTGAAATAATACATTTATAAACAAACGAAAAAATTATCCTAACGATCCTTTCGAAACAAACTCTTTCTTTAAAAAGATGAAATATAAGGTATAGAAAGACATCATACTTTTTATAATTATCGCTTTTGTAAACATTTTATGACATTGGAGTGAACGAGTTCATCTGCATTAAAGCGCAAACAGAAAGAAAAACTATTTGTTCAATCTGCTTTGTTGTAGCCTATTTTTTTTTAAAACTAGTATGCAATATAATGTTATCAATCTTTACAGGGGTATCAAAAGGATTTGGAATTTCAAAAAAAAAAAGAGAAGCGCTTTTTTAGAATAATCTAAGCTAGCAATATGTTTTTGAAATAATATTACTTCCAAAGAATAAAAGGAAAAAAAGGTACTACTGCACTCGCAGAGAAAAGTATAACGGACCATATATTATTTTAAAGAAAGAAGGGATATTGTATAAACCTTAGGACAACCAATATTGCTCAAGAGGCATATCTCTCACTTCTGTCCGTAATTTGTGTGTGACTTCAAAAAATGGAGCAATTATATATGTTTAATCAGATTGATAAAATAATTGGATTACTTATAAACATGAAAGGGTCGTATAACCGGTTAGACTGTGCTTTACAATACTATAAAATTGAGAGTATATATATTTTAAATGATCTAGTCTAATAACAGCTTAATTTAACTTGACAACAAACTTTAGTCCATTTATTTCTGAATTGACATGTGTTGGTAGTTTATAGAGGAAAGGGCGTTTCAATTTTTTCCGAATATTGATATTCTTTATTTTATAAATAAAATTTTAGAATACTTACCAGCCTGTTTGGTTTCAATTCTTTTCACTAACAAGTTTGTCTCTTTTGTAGATTTTTCCATCAATCCTAGACGATCATCAATGCTTGTCACTGACTTTTTTAAGACTTTGGGCAACTTAACTGTAACAGCTTTTTCCACTGTTTTTCGCAAATGTTTACTTTGTGTCTTAAGTTGACGTTGTATTTCTGTTACTTTCTGTAAATTGAGCATGTAGAATTTAAATCGTTCTAACCTGGTGATTAGTGATCTTACATTTGTTAAAATATCCATGATAGGCATTTTACAGTTATGACAATGTATGTGTTTAGAAACCCTTCGTCATGTTCCCTCGAAACCAATTGTTCGGGAACCCAAATGCTTTAAATTATCTATGAATATTAAAAGAAAAAGAAAAAGAAAAGATTACAAACAAAGCCGTCTAACATCATTTGTGCATGAGGGATGAGAATAATAAATTTTGTTGTTATGAATTATGAAAACAGTGGTTTACCGTTAAATCGATTAAGAAGATACAAATCAAGGTAACAAATAAATACAGAGGGAATCACATGAACCCCAAAATGAACGAGACCGAGTGTTCCATAGAGGTTAATAAGATGCTTTGCCAACAACATAAAAGCTTGCAGTTATTTTTTGTAATGAAGCTTGTGTTATGTTAGTGGTATTAATTTTACCAAGAACCATATATGTTCTAACTATCTTCCAAAACAATAGATAGCATTCTTTGATATGGTGTTATTGATTACTGACTTAATTGTATCATTATTCAAAGTCATATAGCGGTCATATAGCATAGTAAAGAAAAAAAGATTCACCTATCAGATCGCTTTTGTTGTAATCAATAAATTGACCCCCTCCCCCCCCAAACAATCTTTAGACATAAGATGGCACCTTCCCTTCAGACTTAATGTCAGCATTATTGTTTTCAGTTTGCAGACTTTCATATCCTTTAAAAAATATCTATTAGGCTAATCTAATTTGAAATTTATATTTTTGCTTTTATGATAACTTACATTTTTTAGTTCCTCATTGCGACTAACATGAATTAGCATAATTGTTTGATACTGGATCAACAAAGTCTAATCAAGAGTTCTTTTCTGCAGATCAAGTAACTGATGTCGTACCTCGGATTCATTCCCACATACCCGAGCAATTTCAATCAAACCATTTCCAATTTCGTTTGTATATTGAAGATAGTCCAAATCGGATATTCTCGCCTCGTTTGCGTGTCCGTACACGTGGTTCCGTCTTTGTACAATTAACTCCACGGCTTTTCGTACATCACAGCAGTTTTCTAGAATAATTTTGTTCACATGAGGATCTAAGATCTGGACTGTAATGCCTGATTTCGCCGCAAACGCACAGATTGATGTTGGAACTCCTGTGTTTGGTCTCTTCCTGTGTAAGGCACATGGAAGAAGATTTGCAGTATATAGTGCTGTCCATTGTCTTTGGTCAAGAATTTGTTGAGAAGACGAGACAAAAGCATTTTGATGACATTGACAGCATGATGAATTGTTTTGCCAAAAATGGCAGAGGATATGTTTATTTTGATTCAAAAAGTTTTCTAGGGTAAGGCTTTGTACAGTCAGGCAACTGTACCAAAATACATCAGTACAAAAATTCACTAATATACATCGTCCTAAGGTGAGGTCAAGAATGGTGTCACTATTCCCGTTTTAGCCAGGCTACAACAAATATCAGGTGACCTTCCATGCGTATGATTGGTTCGTTTCAACGATTTATCATAGAGTATATCAAGCTGTAATGGATATAGAACACGGCTCCCTCCTCGTGGTATATATCCTCGAGGGCATTGACAGCATCTTGAATTGTAGCATAAATGGTATATTTTATGCTGATTTTGATTAAGGAACTGTTCAAATGTTAGATGTTTATTTCTTAGATCTAAATCTAGAAGAGAGATGACAGAATCTTTTGCGTGGTCAACAATTAAAATGGCATTTCTCAAAAAGTTTTCACGCTCCGTCTGTGTCATGGCTTGTATCTAGCACTGCAAGATAAAAAAAAAAACAAAAATGTTAAGTTTAAACTAATTAGAAACTTAAAAAATAAATGTTTGGAGATATATAAGAAGCACTAGATGTAAACGTCTTCTTAGACATCTGATATAGTTTACTAACGAATGTGTTAGATAAACATGCTCCAATTATTAATGGTAAAAAGAAATCGCCAACCAGATTGGTACAATGATGATATTCGACAAGCTAGAATAAACTAAGATCCTTTCAACAAGATTAATGATCTGGAAAACAATAAGACCAACAGAAATTTGACCTTATCTTTTTACAATACAGAAGGAGAACTTTTCGTAGTTATACCGTTATAATTTTACTATAGATAGATAGCTAGACATTTCTATTTCAAAGTAAAACTTGGTACATAAATTTGAGAATTGAAATGGGAAATGTGTCAAAAAGACCACAACCCAACCAAAGAGCAGAAAACAGCCGAAGGCCTCCAATGGGTCTTCAACGCAGCGAGAAAATCCCGCACACGTAGGCGGGCTTCAGCTGGAACATAAAAAAATGTGTACTAGTTTAGTAAAAATGGACGTCACACTAAACTCCAAAACATATAAACAAACTAAAATTAAAAAAACAAACAAGACTAACAAACGCCAGAGGCTCATGACTTAAGAGAGGCGCAAAAATGCGGTGGGGTTAAACATGTTTTGTGAGATCTCAACCCCCCAACCATATATCTCTGGCCAATGTAGAATAAACAAACACACAGCAATACGCTCAGTAAAATTTCGTTTAAAAGAAGTCCGAGTCCGATGTAAGAATAGGCAATGAAATACAATATGCACATGAAATACAATATATTACAAGTTTAAACAATAAACTTGTATATTTATACCCACCAGTCTGTCGTTTATGAACCATGTGTACGAAATATTATATATATAGATTTCAAAACCATATTAAAACTTACTATCTATACTACTAAAATAACGAGGTCAAATTTGTTAGCCGGGATGGCGTAAAAACGACGAATCAAAGAATTCCACTTTATATATAACTAATATAGAACAATGGTTTTGATTAAAAATTCCACCATTCCAGGCCCTTTTGTTTCTACATAATTTACATTACTAGTAATTAACCAGTTCCGGGTCGAATCCGATACCGATTCCAATAGTAGTGAGAAAACCTGGACAGACACAACCAAAAACGAACACCCCTTGAAAACAATTAAGCACTGTTAAAGTCGACGTTCTGTTTGAATTGTAACTGTTAAAGTTGACTATGATTGTATCCATGTAACCCCCCCCCCCCCCCCCTGGAAATTCCTGGCTACGGGCCTGGTTCTAGTATACTATAAACATACTTTTTATTTAAGTCGATGGTGTTTGTCTACTTGTTCTATATATGTGCTCATGTAAACAGTGTATTAGTATATCTTGCTTATCTATTACTCTTTCGTGTATATAAAATTATCTTTCAAAAGTTGATCATTAATTAGCTCTAGATACTTTCTTTTGATCATAAAAAACAACATCTTTTCAACTTTCGTAAAATGTCATGAGGATTTGACAAGCTATTGATAAGTGAAAAAAAACTTTAATCTTTGCTGTATCTAAATGATAACTGTACAAAAATATATCAGGAAAATACGGAAAATGAAAATAACATCTTGATCTTGATACGGTTTTTATCATAAAAAAGGTTCTGTTCAAAGATCACCAAATTCCATAAAGGTATGATAAAGTTATTGCTGCCTAAAAAAATACAACTCCAGACTAAACTTAAATGTTGACGCCGCTGACGACAAAGACGCCGCCAACGACAACGGAATCTATAATCGCCATGCCTCGCTTCAGCGAAAAACGAAGTTAGAAAAACAAAACACTACATAGAAAACTACCGACTGAATAACAAATAACCGATATACTGATAATGAAGAGCAAGCAGAACCTGCTTATCAATATCAGCAGGTAAAATTAGGTGAAACATCTTACTGGAAGTGTCACATTTCCAGAAATGTTAACGAGATTGTGGAGACGACAATTGGGACTTACACGTTGTCATGCTGACCATGTTTCACCTAGGATTCAAAGTTTTCAAAATAACAACAAAAGATGCAGAAAATTAGAAAAATGTATATTTCAGGGGCAGTAATAACACCAAATTAAATGCTCCGCTGGGCGCAGCTTAATACGATCGCAGATGTCGAACCATGAACAGTTGGGGGCAAGTATGGACACAACATTTAAGCTTAAAATAGCTCTGAATTTGGATTGTGATTGAATATTTGACACAGCATAGGTTTGTGACACAAAATGAATGTGGTCAAAGAACTGAAACAATTGAAATTGGACATTTACCAATGAAGGTCCATTACCCAATATCTAAATACTTGGTTAGATTTAGCATTTTAAAGAACCCCCATCATTTCACTTTTTGTTTTTTTTTGTTGAAATCAAACAAAGTTTAATTTTGGACCATGATTTGGTCCAACTTGAAAACTGGGCCCAAAAACTCATATTTTAATACAGGTTTAGATTCAGCATCTCAAAGAACCTCGTATATTTTCAATTTATAATGAAATAAAACACAGCTTAATTTTGGACTCCGATTTGGACAAAGTTGAAAACTTGGCATAAAATCAAAAATTTTAATACATGTTTATTAATAGACAATTTAAGCTTTTAAAGGTGTTCGCTTCATCATCAAAAAAATATATATAGCATTCAGAAAGTTTGTTTATACAGACAAATAAACAAACCTACCACAATATTCTTCAAATAATTTAACAAAAACAAAAAAAGAAAAAAAAATCATTTCCAAAATATCATTTATCATTAATACAATGTCTTTTAAAAATATATAAAACTTATCTGTAATTATATTAAATAAAATGCTCCGCAGGGCGCAGCTTGATACGACCGCAGAGGTCGAACCCTGAACAGTTGGGGGAAGTATGGACACAACATTCAAGCTTGATACAGCTTTGGATTTGGATTGTGATTAAATATTTGACACAGCATAGGTTTCTAACACAGATTGAATGTGGTCTAAGAACTTAAAAATTTTAAATTGGACATTCACCTATTATGGTCCAATATCCAAAATCTAAATACATGGTTAGATTCAGCATATCAAAGAACCCCAAGAATTCAATTTTTGATGAAATCAAACAAAGTTTAATTTTGGACCCTTTTGACCTCAATGTGGACAAAGTTGATAACGGGGCCCAAAAATCAAAAATCTAAATACATGGTTAGATTCAGCATATCAAAGAACCCCATATATTCAATTTTTGTTGAAATGAAACAAAGTTTAATTTTGGACCCCGATTTGGACCAACTTGAAAACTGGGCCCATAATCAAAAATCTAAATACATGTTTAGATTCAGCATATCAAAGAACCCTAAGAATTCAATTTTTGTTAAAATCAAACTAAGTTTAATTTTGGACCCTTTGGACCTTAATGTAGACCAATTTGAAAACGGAACCAAAAATTAAGAATCTAAATACACGGTTAGATTCGGCATATCAAAGAACCCCAATAATTCAATTTTTGATGAAATCAAACAAAGTTTAATTTTGGACCCTTTTGACCTCAATGTGGACAAAGTTGATAACGGGGCCCAAAAATCAAAAATCTAAATACATGGTTAGATTCAGCATATCAAAGAACCCCATATATTCAATTTTTGTTGAAATCAAACAAAGTTTAATTTTGGACCCCGATTTGGACCAACTTGAAAACTGGGCCCATAATCAAAAATCTAAATACATGTTTAGATTCAGCATATCAAAGAACCCAAAGAATTCAATTTTTGTTAAAATCAAACTAAGTTTAATTTTGGACCCTTTGGACCTTAATGTAGACCAATTTGAAAACGGAACCAAAATTTAAGAATCTAAATACACAGTTAGATTCGGCATATCAAAGAACCCCAATAATTCAATTTTTGATGAAATCAAACAAAGTTTAATTTTGGACCCTTTGGACCTCAATGTGGACCAATTTAAAAACGGGGCTAATAATTCAATTTTTGATGAAATCAAACAAAGTTTAATTTTGGACCCTTTGGACCTCAATGTGGACCAATTTAAAAACGGGGCCCAAAATCCAAAAACTAAATACACGGTTAGATTCAGCATATTAAAGAACCCCATGAAATCAAGAATAAAACCCCATTGAAATTGGTCAAGAAATAAGCAATTTATAGGAAGTATCTTCTTTTGCACAATCCTGTGCTATTAAATATTTCTTGCTATTGCGCAATACTGTACAATTGACAATTTCTTGCTATTGCGCAATATTGTGCTATTGGATATTTCTTGCTATTGCGCAATACTGTGCAATTGAAGATTTCTTGCTATTGCGCAATACTGTGCAATTGAAGATTTCTTGCTATTGTGCAATACTGTGCAATTGAAAATTTCTTGCTATTGCACAATACTTATTATATAATAATTTACACATCCTGTTTGGTGTGTATCTCCTACCATATCATTATTATTTGATTTTAAATTTAAATCAGAAATAACCAACTTAAAATGGAAAATTTTAAAAGAAACAAAAAAGGAAAAAAATTAAAAAAAAATAAATCCCCCCCCAAAAAAATTTTTTGAACCCCCATTATGATTCATCACCCCCAAACTCAATCCCAGCCTTCCCTTTGTGGTATGGTACCTTGCAGTACAATTTCAGAGAGATCCATACACTTGAACACAAGTTATTGTCTGGAAACTAGAAAAAAATGTGTTTTTTGGCCCCTTTTTGGCCCCAAATTCCTAAATGTTTAGGGCAATTACCCCCAAACTCAAACCCAGCTTTCCCTTTGTGATATGGAACCTTGTAGTACAATTTCAGAAAGATCCATACACTTACACACAAGTTATTGTCATGAAACTAGAAAAATGCTTGTTTTTTGCCCCTTTTTTGGCCCCTAATTCCTAAAATTTGGAGGCAATTACCCCCAAAATCAATCCCAGCATTCCTTTAGTGATATGGAACCTTGTGGTACAAT